TGTCTTCTCATGAGATTGCCAAAGTATTGGAGCCTCAGCTTCAGGATCTGTCCTTCCAGTGAGCACTCTTGGTATTCATCCAGTCCAGCCTTTTGCATGATGTATTCTGCATATAAGTTAAATAAGCAGGGGGACATATACAGCCTTGTCATACCCCTTTCCCAATTTTGAACCAATCAGTTGTTCCAGATCCAGTTCTAAACGTTGCTTCCTGTCCCACATATAGATTTCTCAGGAGATAGATAAGATGGTCAGGCACTCCCATTTCTTTAAGAACTTGTTATAGTTTGCTGTGTACTCAGTACATTCAGGGACGTGGTGGCGCTGTGGGCTAAACCGCAGAAGCCTGTGCTGCAGGGCCAGAAGACCAGCAGTCGTAAGATCGAATCCACGTGACGGAGTGAGCTCCCGTCGCTTGTCCCAGCTCCCGCCAACCTAGCGGTTTGAAAGCATGCAAATGCGAGTAGATAAATAGGGACCACCTCGGTGGGAAGGTAACAGCATTCCGTGTCTAAGTCGCACTGGCCATGTGACCACGGAAGATTGTCTATGGACAAAATGCTGGCTCTATGGCTTGGAAACGGGGATGAGCACCGCCCCCTAGAGTCGAACACGACTGGACAAAAATTGTCAAGGGGAACCTTTACCACTGTGTACTCAGTACATTCTAGCAATTTAGCTGTTACTTGTCATATTTAAAATGTAAATTGTTAACTACTAGTTAAACTGCTTGTTAACCAAAAGTAATAACCAAAAGTTATTTCTAGTTTGTAAAGCTTGGAATTGCACCAATATTGATGGCATATTTAAATGAGCATAATAGAGGAATACTTTCTGTGTTATTGACATATTGCAGAATTTCGAAGTATCTAATTACAAATAATATAATTTGTGGTGGTGTCCTTTTCCCCATGGCACTTACCAGGTTTTTTACATCCCCCTGCTTCTAAAAAGCTGAAAATGCTGCTCTTGAGGCTGAACTACTTGTCTTATTTACTGGAAATAAGAACTTTAAGATAAAATATGGCAAGTACTTCTGGTCCCACCCTTTTGCTTTTAGTCCCTGTGGAAGATATCCTTGTGGAAGTTATCCCTGGAAACATCTCTGAAATTGAATTTCGATTCTCAGCTGAATGACATGAACCACTTTTCTTGCAGAATCTATTTGCTGCTGCAGCCTTGCCACTTGTAGGTGATTGCTTGTAGGTACATTATTGTGATATGTTTCCAAGGTACTTTACAGACAAAACACTGTATTTGCATTTGTTAGTTTATACAGTGTCATTCAGTTACATTGAATTGTCATCTTAATCGCAATTAGTTCTACGTGCTTCACTTTAGTAAATTTTAACATCATTTTTTATCATGGCAAATCTCCTTAGGAATTATAGGGAGATGGAAATGAAATAAAGAATGAGTAAACAATTAGAGGAGGATAGCTACTACTTCCCTCCGTTTAGAGAGAACCTTTCGGGCTATGCTGGCTGGAGCTGCTGGGAGTTGTAATTCGGAAGGGAGGGCTCCATATTAGGGACGGGTGCTGTCAAAAGACAAGATATTCTTGTTCTTTAAAAGGAAGCTATTGTATCATAACACAAAGTGCATGTCACAAGTTGTGACAACAACTGTTTATAGGGTATGAAGGACTGTTGGGGGACTGAGCAAGTTGTTACAGCCTTCCAGCTGTTCCGTGCAGAGGTTGAGCAAAGTGGCATGTTTGTTCGCTTGCTTTACCAATTAGGGGATTATGGGAGTTGTAGTATTTATTTTTAAAGGCTATGTATGTCAGGCTCTAGTCCTTTGGCATGGCTACCAAATGCGTTGGAGTTAGTAGAAAAGGTGAGAGTCATAGTCTTACAGCAGTGGTTCTCCAGGTTTTCTTGAATTAACTCGCATTAGCTGTGCAGACCAGGATTTCTGAGAGCTGTAGTCCAAGAATATCTGGAGACCCAAAGGTTGGGAACCACTGGTCTAAAGCCTTACGTCAACAGTTCAGGCCAAAGAACTTACTATTTCCCTGCAGAATATCTTAACACCAGTAGGGAAAAATGGCCGAGGTTTTGTAGACTGGAGATGAGGAAGTTTTTGTACTCCAGATGTGGTTGAACTGCAACTCCCATAGCATTAACTAGCACTAACTGTATTGAAGGATGATGGAAATCAGTGCCCTAAAGAAGTTCAGTTTTTTACTGTCTTTATCATGGCAAATCCCTATTGGAGAGATACATGCCGTATATTAGTAAGACAAACACATTTCACCAGTGAGCACTTTATCATCTATCAAAGCTACACCTGATAGGCTACCAGTCTAATTTTTTACTGTCTTGATCATGGCAAATCCCTATTGGAGAGATATGTATATTATTAAGACAAACACATTTCACCAGTGAGCACTTTATCATCTTCCAGTTTTAAGAAACTAAATACCTTAAATAGATTTGGAAGTTTATGCATGAGAAGAGTCTGGGCTCAAAGGGACTCCCTCCCTAGTCTGGGCACATGGGAGTGCGGCCTTAAAATATACTCCTACACTTCATTTGGTCTTCAGTTTCTTGACTATTTCTCAAATTGTACATTTTCCAAACCAAAATGCCTTGCCACCTTAATTGGCCAAGATGGCTGAGGGCTGGCTGAGCTGATTCTAGGATAGCTGAGAAGCTGTGCAGAATCCACAGCCCCCCCAAGGCCAGGGATGCTAGAACTTCCCTCACTTTGCCCCATCTTTCTGCCAACATATTGCCCATGGCCATCGGCTGGAGAAGGTGTGGATCTGACATAAAAACTGCTGGACAGCTCAGTGGTTTAAGTATCAGGTTGCAAAGCCAAAGTTGGGAGTTTGATTCCCCAGTGTGTCTCTCTGACAGGAAATGGATTGATGATCCTTCCAACTCTTTAGTTCTAAGATGATGATGGTGGTGGTGATGATGTATAACTCCTTTCTAACCCCATCCCTCCTCCACCCTCCTTTGCCTTTTCTCCTGGCTAATCTCTACCAGTACACCTATTCTGCCAGCGGGCAAAGCCAAAGTTGGGAGTTTGATTCCCCAGTGTGTCTCTCTGACAGGAAATGGATTGATGATCCTTCCAACTCTTTAGTTCTAAGATGATGATGGTGGTGGTGATGATGTATAACTCCTTTCTAACCCCATCCCTCCTCCACCCTCCTTTGCCTTTTCTCCTGGCTAATCTCTACCAGTACACCTATTCTGCCAGCAGATCATCGAGATCTGCCAGCCTAAAGGTCCCGGGTGCCAGAACAACCTTCTGCCTATTCCAAACCCATTCCAAACTTTTTAAGTTTGGATCGCAGGGCCATATTTTAATTTCTGGGCAGAAGCTGTGACTGAATGTTTGCGGTTCCTTTTTTTAAAAAAAAAATAATTACTTTATTTCACATGAAGACATGTGGGTGAGGACAGAGCGATTCAACTCCTGCGCGGAAAAAAAAAGGCAGAAAAAGAAAAGCTCCCACGATGACCTACCTCAGAGTCCAATAACTTCAAGTGCAGCGTTTCGAGTTTTGCGCGTTATTCCTCCGATGGTTTGAAAGGGAAAGCTCCTCAGCAATACGAGCAGCAGTTCTGGGCCAAGTTGCAAACTTTAAAACTGACAAACATCTGTTCCGCCCTGCTGAAGCCTTTCTTTTCCCTTCTTTTATTTATTTGCTTGCTTGCTTGTTTGTTTCCTAGCGTGGAACCACAGGATCTTTAAGCCCAACAATGAAACACCCATTGTCTGCCCCCTTCTAGTCACGAGCCGCTCGCAGCATATGGGGCTATTCTCCCAAGGTTTTCCCACCTTTTTTTTTTCTTTCTTTTAAAGGCCATTTCCCCACATCCCCTCCCCAACACCCCCGGTCTCCTTCACAGCAACCTCTCTTTCTCTCTCTCTTCCCCCTTCCCCCCCGCTGATGGTTGGACTGCAAAAATAGCTCAGTGGCTTAGCTATCTGGCTGCGGAGCCAGAGGTTGTAAGTTCAATTCTCCCACTGTGCCTCCTTGATTGGGGCTGGATTCAATGAATCATAGGGTCCCTTCCAGATCCTCGGACGCGCCTCCTCCTGCGCTTGGAAGCGAGGCGAGATGTTGAGCGACGGTCCCTGACGCCGGCCAACTTCAGCGCCGGTTTCAAGGCTCCTCCCTTCTGGTGAAAGGCAGACGGCGGGGCGCCTGGAAACCGGTTGGAGAGAGAGCGCGAGCGCGAGGGAGAGCGCGAGGGCTTGAGGGGATTGCCACAAATGGTCAGGCGGCAGCGGCGGCGGAGGGAGAAGCGAAGGAGGCGCCCACAACAGCAGCGGCGGCGGCGGCGGCAGCATCTGGAGGCGCCGCGCGGTGCCTGCTGAGCCGCCGCAGAGAAGAGAGAGAGCGCGGGGCGAGCGCGCTGGCGGCGGAGCGCGTTGCGGCGGCGGCGGCGGCGGCAGCTGGGCTGCTCCCTTCTCGTCGTCGTCCTCCTCCTTCTCCCTCCTGCTTCCCCTTCATGCGTCTCAAGTTTGCGTTGGCAGGCGAGGAGGGGAAAGGCAGGAGCAGCAGCACCGACCTGCTGGGCGAGCAAGGGAGCGGCGGCGCCTGAGGCGGGCAAAGCGGGGAGAAAGAGAGAGAG